AAGTTTTGCAGGTCATTCATGAGTTCAGTGAGGTTGGAATTTTTCTTGTTCGTAACAAAGTTGTTCACGAACTCATGAAAATCAGGGGATAGACTTTCCAAGATGATGCTAACTTGGGTGGCTTCATCGATTTTGGCACCATTGAGCTCCGTATCATGGAGGTGATCAATCATGTTCAAAATACGTGTCTTAACTGAATAGCGTTTCTTCATCTTGTCATTCATGAAAGCCCTTACAGCATCCAAATGAGCCTTCTCTGATGGAGCGCCGAACATGGCTTCTAGAGATTCTATTATCTCATAAGCAGTCTCCATCGCCTCATGCTTCTTGCGAAGTACATCGCTCATGCTGGCATACATAAAGTACTTTGCTTTGTTGTTGGCCTTGATCCAGCGATCATAAGGCTCCCTTCCGGTTTTGGATGCATTAGCCGCGGGTTCTTGAGGACATTTCTCTACTAGGACAAATTTGTAGTCTTCGCAGACCAATAGTATGTTCATGTTACTTTTCCACTTAGCGTAGTTATCACCGTCTAGTTTTTCAGTTGCAAGTAGTGTGATAATAGGATTTGACATGTTGCTGGAAATAAGTAGAATATTCATCTAATCATTTTATGCGCATGAATATCAAAAGCATGTGAATTTAGGCACAATTAAATATGATGCATGATGCACGTGAAAAATACATAAATCATGTTTTAATTTTAGGTGCCAACGATAATCTAATTTTCCACATATAAAGTGTACCTTTGGGTAGTCAAGTTATATGGCAATTAGATCGAGACTCTTCTCAGTTAATAAATATAGTCAAAATATTTCATATTTTCATAATTTATTAACTACCATTATTTTAGTCAAAATATAACCAACAGATTTGATTATATTTTATGAGTGTGACCCACCATTTCAGATCCTATAGACTTAACTCCGTATTGCTACCTTTGGGTAGTCAATTCAGAAATACATCTTGAAATCTTATCTCTAGGAAGCCAACCTTATTATTGATCCGGCAAGAACACTCTCCTTTAGGAGGGTGATTCAATGTCGCCGCAAAGCCCCTTTTCGGATCTCACGGTGTTGCACTAACGGCGGAGACTAGTGAGCCGTATTATCATACAACCCTCTCTCACTCATTATTTTGCAAATATGTATCTTGTTTGAAAAACATCTCATGGTTTTCAAATCAAAAAATAAACAATTTATTTTTCAGATATGTGAAATTTTAAAATTTAACTCTTATATTCAATTTCACATGTAACATTATTTTGCAAATCAATTTTTACAACTTAAATCAATTTATTCATATTAAATCGATTTTAGCGCATGGTTCTTATTTTATTTTATTTTTCTAAAACACTTTTATAATAAATAAAATAAATAATAATAAATGCGCGTGTATGCATGGCATGTTATAAAATATATGAGTAGGCATATTTATCTATATGGAATGTTATATGCATGGACATATAATATATAATTATCAACATAAAATATAAATATATACAATCGGCTATTAGGATGGATTTGACTGGGTCCCATGAAAAAATAAATAAATTACAACCAAATCGAATAAATAAATAATTACAATAATTAATTTCTTCCGTTACATCAACGGGTTTTCGATTCTTGAATTCTTTATTCTTCAGCTTCATTCTTTGTCTTCGGGTTGGATTGCACCTTCTTTGGGCACCGGAACTTTTCTAGGTCCTTCGACACGTATTACGAGGCTTTTGGAAAGTCTCGGGCCCATTCGGGGTCCATGATCTGATCTGGCTCACTCCGCTACGGGCGCGCTGGGCACTCACTGGGGCGCGCGCGGGGTACGCCTGGGCTCGCGCGCATTGGGCTGTTTCTGGGAAAAAATATGGGCAGCTTGGGGGGCTTCCAACTTAATCTTCATGGCCTCCTTTTGATTCAAATTCAAAACCCTAATTCTATCCAAACCCTAGAATTACAATAATTCTAATTCTGAATGAATTTATAATGAATGAATATAACCGATCCATGGAACCATATAATTAATGACCAAATCCATCATCCATACATTCATCAACATGAATTAAATATGAACATCCATCAATGCAAATGCCTACGCATCACATACATACATAATTAAATATCACATATTTTTTATTATCAAATAATCGAAGCATAAATTAATATCGTCTACAAACCGCTCTGATACCAATTGTTGGTCACCGAATCGAATTCGGATGCGGAAGTGTGGCAGGAGGCGGATCGTGTATAACAAAAATTTTCATAAAATTGTTGAGATACTCTATAGATTATATTAATTTATGCACGAATAAATTAATCACATTAATTTATATATCAAGAACTCAATTAGGAAAAATACCTCGAGGCCGACTTGGATGATAACTTGAGTTCTTTGACCACGAACGATCCTTACTCCAAGCTTTGTGTTTAGAAAACCAAAGTCTTCCATGTCAATCCTTGATTCCACGTAGACGTGTGTGTGGGCACACGTGAGACAAAATAGGTTTCAATAACACTCAAATTTCCACAAACACCAACGCATGCACGATGTGGAATTTTTTTGGAGAAAAAATTTTCCTCTCTTTTCCCTAGGAGAAATTTCGGCCACATTCAATAATTAGGGCAGAAAATTATTTTCAAAAATTGTCTACATAATTTTCTATCATTCTCATATTTAAAGAGTAGAAGTCAAACTTCAAAAAAGAAATCAAATCTCTATCTCCTATTTGTATTTGGAACAAAAAATCTCCTACACCTTATCCCTTGAGTGGCCGGCCATGCGAGGTTTCTATCCCTTGTGTGTGGCGCCAATACTAGATAGGAAAGGAAGAGAAAATCATCCTTTATCCTGTAGTCCAATTTTAATTCAAATTCAAATTCGAATTTAAGTCAAACTTAAATTAATTTGAATTCTAAATTGAACAACTTATCAAATAAGTTTAAAAGGATAAATTTAAATTATGTTCACAATTTAAATTCAAATTTAAATAATCACATTATTGAAATGATAATTAATTCTCAATTAATTATTTTCGAGTGTTTAATTTTAGAATTTCGTAATTCTAAAATTCCCATTTTACCCTCTGTGTCTGGTAGAATTATAATGATGACGCAGGGACTAATGGACCTATAATCCCGAGCTCCAATAAAATTAATAATTAATTAAACACTTTAATTAATTAATTAATTGTATTAATTTCAATAGTTACTCCACTATAAACTTAGAATTGCACTCTCGAAATTATAGACATTAATTACTTCTAAACTGTAAAGTGTCCATTTGATATAGTCGTTGCATATAGATCAATCCTCCATAAATAATTCATAATTAGAGTCAGGTAGAATCCGTTAACCTCTCTAATTATATCTTCATCATTGAGTACCATTGATTCTCTAATAGATAATGATTCATAAAACACATTAATGAAGCAGAGCGCTCATACTAATCCAAGTACCGAATCAACACTCAAGAGAATTATTTATCTACTTCTTTCTCAAGAAGGAATGGATTCCATCTCGTATAATAACATTCCTGGCTACCTACTTCATCATGTCTCCCAGGAATAGGATTCAGGGTCTCAGAATCTGTACCGAGTAAATCAAAAGACACAAATCTATAAATAAGAGTTTGTTAAGAGCTCAGGATTAAGATCATTTTATATATGACTATCGATAGACTCAATTAGAATTTCTATACTTAACGAAAATTATTAGAAATTCATATTTTGTCTGTGTCCTTGTTCCACATAATCTTATTATGCGTAATATACTCATTCAATATCACACCATATTAACAGTGCGGATAACACTGTTCCATTCTAAATGGGAATGACATGTATTAGTAATGTTCTAATTAAAGATTCTGAACTTTAATTAGATTTATTACGAACATCACTTTTTGATTATTATCCTTAAACATTATCCTCTCGTATATAACACTTATATGCCATGTTTAAGGTTACATAAATAATCACAAAATTTTTATTTGATATTCATAAAATATTCATAAATATATGCACATAAAATGATGAATAAACTCTTTTATTAAATAAATAATGAATATCCTATTACATCTCATGCTTCTAGGACATTATTCCCAACATAGAGGCCTTTATCGGTTATGAAGGATGTGTGCTCTTCGTCGGTCAGATGCATAGGGATCTGGTTGTATCCAGAATAGGCATCCATTAAACTCAACATCTCATGCCCTGCCGTGGCGTCGACCATTTGGTCTATTCGAGGAAGTGGGAAACCATCCTTTGGGCAGGCTTTGTTGAGGTCACTGAAGTCGACGCATGTTCTCCATGTCCCGTTAGGCTTGACCACCAAAACAGGGTTCGAGACCTATCTAGGGTAATGGGCCTCTCTATCGAAACCATTGTTGATCAACTTATTGACCTCTTCTTTCAATGCCGCGTACCTCTCCGGGTTCATTAGTCGACGCTTCTGGCATTTGGGGGGATATGAGGGGTCTATATTTAAAAAATGGTATATGACTTCTGGGTCGATCCCTTCCATATCAGCATGATTCCAGGCGAAGACATCCAGGTTCTTTTTAAGAAAGCTCTCGACTTCCACCCTAAGTGATGGAGTTAAGTCAAAACCTACTTTGAGCACTTTGTTTAGCTCGTCCTTGTCGACTTAGATCTCCACCAATTGCTCGATGGGTTGAGACCATGCGGCCTCCTCTTGGACCCTGGGGTCTATGTCCTTAATGGCGCCTTGATAGACCACTCTGGACTCCTGCCTCCCAGGCTGGTCATATTCGCACAAAGCATCAGAATATGCAACCCTAGCCTCATACTGGTTGCTTTTTATGTCCCTTTCACCGTTTGGGGTAGGGAATTTGACCTTTTGGTGGTAGATGGAGGTTGTTGCCCTTAACGCCTGAAGGGTCGGCCTTCCAATGACGGCATTGTATTGGGAGCCTCCCTTTATTACCACAAAATTGGCCATTATGGTGGCCTGTCGAGGTTTCTTCCCGGCGGTTATAGGCAGCCGGATTGCCCCCTGAGGGATGACGGAATCCCCAGTGAAACTGTACAACGGCCTGGAGGTTTTTTCCAATTGCTCCTTCGGGATCCCCATCTTTTCTAGGCAGTCGGAGTATAGGAGGTCTACCGAGCTTCCATTGTCCACCAGGATTCGGCATACGGTGTGATTTCCAATTACGACTTCTACCACCAAGGCGTCGTTATTGGGGAAGTGAACCCCGTTGGCGTCATCCTCATTAAAAGCTACGTCAGCACTGCCGAACCTGGTTGCTTTTGCGGAGGAGACATTCCAGAACCTTTCCTGGTACACCCCTCTGGCTTCATGGGTGTAGTCTTATTGAGATCTCCTCGAGTCTCCTCTAATATACGGACCGCCGAGGACGATTCGTATGACGCCGACGGGTTCCCGGTCCTCTGGTCGCTGGTTCTCCTCTCGACGTCAACCGTCATTTTGGCCACCGTGGCCATCGTTTCTTGGTCTTCGCTCGGCCTTGAACTCCTGCAGCCTTCCTTCTCAGATTACCCTTTCTATTTCATCTTTTAGATCGGCGCAATCATTGGTGTGGCGGCCGACGTCACCGTGGAACCTACAGTACTTCTTTTGGTTCATTCGGCTCAGATTTGACCTCATTGGCTCGGGGCAGCACAGTAAGTTCCCGCGACCTACCTGATTAAACACTTTCTTGACTCCTATTGTTAATTCATGGTAGGAGTCGTACCTTTGAAACGGTCGAGGCTTGCGGTTCTCCTCTTACCTCGATTTCTTAGCTTCTGGAATGTTCGGTGCCGGAGCAGACTGCTTGTCTCTGCTTCCTCCGCCTCATCATTTCTTTATGTCCTACTTCCCTGCCGTTGACCCTTGCTTAGTCCATTTATTTTTGTTAGACCTGTGCTCGGGGTCATTTGCATCTGCTTCCTCGGCATTGATGTATCCTTGTGCTCGCGCAAGGAATTCCTTGTAACTGGACGGAGGCTTCCTGTTCAGCCCTCTCTTGAAGGGGGTGATTTTCTTCATGCTAGATAATGCCCCCATCAAGGCTTCCCTATCGGTTATGTCTGTTGTTGCGGAAACAGCTTCCCCATACCTTGCGAACCATTCTTTTAATGACTCGTTTGACTTTTGGTATATTGTCGTCAAATTCTGCTTTGGAGGGACATATTTTTTCACTCCCATAAACTCGAGGGAAAATGATTCCTGCAACTCGTCCCAGCTTGAGATGGAGTTTGGTTTTAGTGTTCGAAACCATCTCTGGGCAGAGTCCGTTAGATGGTTTCGGAAGGCTCGGCACATGATCTCCTCGGCATATCCATGCAAGAGCATGTGCCCTGTGTACATTTCTAGGTGATCATCTGGATCCTCTCTGCTGTCATATGGTGGGATTGAGGGTGACTTGTATTTATCGGGGAGAGGTGGGGCCATAATTTCCTCGGTAAACGGGTGGTCGTGCGTCCGGCTAGGTGTGATGTCGACGTTCACCACCTCGGCCACTCGCCCTATATTTTTTTTTAGGCCGGTGACATCGCCCGTGAGCTTTTGCTTTAGGCTAGCCATGCGCTCCATAATGGCTAGTGTCTCCTCCGTAGAGATTGCTGAACCAGCTCCTCTCGACGCCTCGGCCCTTTGTGCATTGGGTCCGCCTCTTGCCCGTCCGCCCACTTGCACCGACCCCGCATCCCCTGGAGGGTTTCTGCCTGGGTTCTGGGGTGGCGCCTCGGGGTTTCCCAGGCCTCCGGCTATTTGGTTCTCCAGAGCCTGGAGTCTAGCGGCCCTTAGACGACTGCCGGTGGATTGAGAGGGCCGAGGCTTGGGATCACCTTGAAGATTTTCACTGTCCCCGATTCCTTCTGGGATGTCTTGGCGGTCACCGGGGTTGTGGTTTCCAACTATGGCAGCTTCTATCGATCTCGGGGCGTCTTCCAAAGGCGGCATCGAGTTTCTTCCATCCAAGCGCTCAACTATAGTCATCAGTCCCCGCACCAGGTCGGTTAGGGTAGTGAGCTGGGCCTGCAACTGCACAGGGTCTAGTTGCGGTATGTCTGGGGGTGGGGCTCCATTCCTAACCGGAGGTAGGTCTTCTTCCATCCCATCGTTTGCCAGATGTGTGGCAGTTTCTTCCATCTAGCCGCATTGGTTGATGACCTCGATTCTTTTTCTTGAAGGCATGTCAACAAACGTATGAACCAGAGATTCTGGGTTCGTTCCCTAGTGGAGTCGCCAATTGTTGACGGTGAAATTTCATCAACAGAAATATGCCGGGTTACCCGTTGGTATCCCATTGGGTTTCCGGCTAGAAATAAACAGTATATTAAAAATTAAGTTGTGGAGTGTTTGTTGTGTCTTGTAAGCATGAGTATATCACTTGAATGAGAGGACACACGAGATTTATAGTGGTTCACTCTATTAATGAAGAGCTACATCCACTTGTGTATGATATATTTCTTTTGGACTCTGTACAATTTACATGCACGTGTCCTTTCTCTTCTCTAATCCTCTCTATTGTCTCATTTTCTAGAGATCCCTTTTGTGTATGGGGCTTTGTCCCTTTTATAGCCCAAGCTTCCTTCGTGGGTGGTTTTCTTTCGTAGGTAGAAGTACTCGAGTGGCCTACTTTTCTAGGCTAAGATCGTAGCCTACTAATCACCTTTTGGACTATTCACTCAGCCAATTGGTCTTCTATTGCGGCTCTGTGAATTCCTGTAATCCCTCACTGCCCACTGCATGGCGGTTTAGGGGTTTGCAATTAATGCCCGTATTGCAGATGTCTCCCACCCCTAGACACAACTTGTGATGTCAGGCTTCTTTCTGAAGAGCGTTCCCCTCGGCGTTTGTGTCGCGCAGACCTTATGCCCTTTCTGATCTTTCCGAAGGTTGTTGCATAAGTTCGACGGCACAAAGGGTCGGCGCCCTTTGCAGCGTCGAGGGGTAGAGAACTCTAAGCGCCGAGGGTAGTCGAATTCTTGACGTCGAGGGTTGCCACCTTTTGAGGGAAAGTAGGGTCACGCTGTCACCGTTCCACATGTCACCCACATTTTCCCGCACAACACTGGTGTTAGTATAGTTGCTACTATTGTAGCTATTGGGTAATCTTAGAATCAATATTGTATTTGATAACTTGTTAAAACAGTCTTGAATCATTATTGTTACAAACATATATATTATCTCTAGACAAAAAGGTTGGTATTTAAACAAATTGTTTGCGGGATCAACACATTTTATAGCTCTTCAGCTTCTTATATTGAAAAGACTTCTGCATCTCAAACCAGTTGTGAAAGCTAATTTGGAAGATTTGGAGTTAGTGATATTGGATTTGAGCTCATCTCTCACGTGTTTTACTTTTGGGGCTATTGGACATTAAACTAAGCCAACTAGGGGTTTTCCTGGCAAAATTTGAAGTTAAGCAAAGACAATATGTGAAGATAAGGTTTAAAACTGTTAGATGACGTTAGAATTATATATAATAAAAATGACATTTAATAGGACATAATAAAAATATGATTAAACTTCTGCTTCAACAGTGGGATTTTTTTTTCTTTTTTATACCTTACTATATATATTCTCCAAAGGATGAAGTAGTGGGCAACTCATTAAAAGCCAGCTAGCTAGCCACTGCCTAGCATACAATCATATAGCACAAAAAAGTTAAAAATCCAACCACATGAATCACCAGGAATGGAATTTATGAAACCAACAATAATAGATGCTACCTAATTAGTGAAAACAAGATAGAAAATTCTTAACAAATCCATTAGATGGAATGGCATGAGACCAAATGTGGACCGGTCCATGAGCTAATAGGCCAAGTCTCTGGTGTCACTTAAATGGACTAGGATTTATAATCTAATATCACATCAGATAAGATGAGTCATGAGTTACATTTGTATCCACAACCACAAACTTGGATTCCAAAGAGGGCAGAAACAAATTTGCTCACAGTGAATCTAAGAAAATGCATAGTTGTCAAACACATCTCATCCCCAGCATTCACCCAAAAAAAAAAAAAAAAACCTGTTAGATTGAATAACACCTAACCATACAATAAGACTTATTTATGTAAATAGCGGGGTTTTTTTTATCTGCCGTGACTCTAAAAGAGAAAATGTACAATTAATTGTTAAACACATCTCATGGACGTGCAGAGTTGGTATGACAAGAGCACATGGTGCCCAATCACTTGTCAACTTCCTCTCCTTGTACTTCATCCAAGTATGGTTATTAGTTACCACCAATATTCTTTTGTTTATATTAGTAATTATTGTTGTGTGTTACAGTGTTAGCTTTATTTTGTTTTGGGACTGACCCATATTCGTATTTCTTGGGCACAGTGCAGAGCTAGCTAACTGCAAAAAGAGACTGCATTTCTAGCTACAATGGATGCAGATTAGCATGTTATCTTTTGCAAGGATTAATGAATAGTTTAATTGAGCAGTTTATTGTTATAATGATTAATTATTAATTTGTGGGGAGTTTGCACCTAAGCCTTGGAACGGCTGTCTATATTCTAGAATCCTATCAAGGGAGACATAATTGTATATTCAACGCTTACCTTTATCTATTTACCACAAACAATAAAACTGGATATCCAAAAATAGTTTTAGGCGTCCAATAATGTGCTTATGATAATTGTACTTAAGTTATTATCAACTTAAAATTCATGTCGGAATTTAAAATAATTTTATTTATTATCATTGGTAATTATTACTATTATTTTTAACAATTAAAAACTCATAAATTATATTATATAGGATTCATGTAGTTTGACATAGTAGTTTTTGATTAATTGGATGGCTAATAATAAGAATCATCATTATGGTATTTTAGTATTTTCAAGGGCAGAATAGAAGGAAGACATTGATGATACGACAATCACAACATTTACAATAGTGTATACTACTGTGTAGCAACTTCAATGCCTAAAAACCAAACAGAACCTTTTTTTTTTCCTGCACAAGTTTGGAGGCCATCCAATGGCTAATATTGTAAGTTGAAGTGGGGACACACTTGACACCAAATGGGCTGCATGGTAAAAGTTGTGGGGTGACATCATAGAGGAGCATAAAAAGCCACAATGAGATGCATAAGTGCCTATTTGTGTTTTTATATTTGTTTTTGGGGGCCAAGAACAACTATTTTATTGTATGTATAGCTTTGCCTTAACTTTCTCATTTTCCCACCTTAGATCCCTATTCTTCTCTCAATGTTCCCCTTTTTAATCCTTTTTATGGTTGATCACAGTATATCATTCTCTTTTTTCTTTTTAATAATCTACTATAGAAAATTAATTATTTGGATGCCCTTTGAAGTTTATACTATAGTTTTGAAATAGTGAACCTTTCAAAAAAAAAAAAAAAA